TTCATTTGATATAATATAGGACAATGATATACTATTATTATATATCATAATAATATATATAGTTTATATATATATATGTAGTATATTGATAAATGATTCAACTACGTGTGCCCTTATGACAGTCTTCCCTGATCATCGTACACTTCACCATGGCAGTGTACTATATATATTATATATAAATAATATATAACCCATACTACATATAGTTATAGTAGAATATATAATAGTACTATATACTATATATAAATATCATATAACTATATAATAGTTATATATACTATATGTATACTATATGTGTTGTGACTTGTGTGTGTGTGTGTTTTAAAAATATTTTATATATATATATACTATATAAATATATAATACACACACGACACACACACACACACACACACACACACACACACACGCAACACACCACACACACACACACACCACACACATACCGACACCACATGTATTACAGGCATAATATACAGAGAGAGAATTCAAGAGAGCGATGAGAGATTGATACAGACAGAGGAAGGAGAGAAGATGGAGAAGAAGAAGGTGAGAGATGAGACGGGATGAAATAAGCGAGAGGGAGAAGGAGTAGGGATAGACCGACCGAGCAGAGAGCGAGGGAGAGAGAGTAGAGAGAGAAGAGAGACGAGAGAGAGAGAGAGAGAGGTAAACACAGACTGACAGACTAAACGCATATTTAAACTAGCGATCCCGTAATGGATGCTGTGACAGAGCCCCGGGCCTCATGGTACCCGCTGGCTGTAGCCTGAGGACACCGCGGGGCTTTATCGCTGGGCACTTTCCATAGGATACCATAGGAGACACACTGAGGATAAGAGACAGTTGGGTGAGTTTTATTGTTGTCGATCCCCTAACTTGGATAGTAACCTTGGTAGTTCCGTTCTATGGCGACTGAAAAATAAAAACCAACGGCGGGAGTTCTGCATGTAAACACTGCAGTGCGAGGTGACTCAGGTATGGGAAATACGTTACGTTTAACACTGACGTCACTACCTCGCTAGCAACAGTGATGTCGAACCGAGAAACGTCATTTAACAGCTTCCGCCAAAATACGTATGTGAAGGAATGCTGTGGAAGAAAGGCTATTCCTGTGCATTGGTATTGAGGAAAGATGGTGGAATCCTAAAATGGTGTTGGATATTAGCGTACGCGGCAATGGACGCGAATTTAAATAATATTCCTAGATTATTGGTTGTAACTACGAAGGAAATTAAAAAATAGCCTTCTTACTAATTAGGTAGTATCTTCAGGGAAAATAAAAGAAGAGGCAAGTAAAACGTTTGAAAACAAAATAACAACAGCCGGTTTTGACGTTTACAGACCTACTCGTACGTCTGGCAAACAGAATAACTTGTTATCATACACATTCTAAAATTTTCATATCATTGTAAAGATAAAAACTATTCGGCATGCATATCGTGTTGATCATTTCATAGATTAAACTACACACTGAAACTAAATCAAATAGAGGAACTATAATTAGTTGAACTCACCAGTTATACTTGGCAACCAGCAAGCCGGCATCAACGGTATAAGTCCTCAGCCAACAAGTATATGTTTAGCTGTGTTAGCCTGCGCGTGGGGTACACCTTACAAAAACCTTATAAACTTCGACTGTGAATTGCGATTTACATGATAACAATAAGCACAGTAATCATTCATAATCATCTGGGTAGAAAAACCAGATAAGGTAAGTGTGATGATACAGGATTTGCTTGCAAGTAAAGGGAGGAATGGTGTGTGAACCACTGGTGGTGTGAGGTGACTTGTGACTTCAACGAAAATACAGCTGAATTGAAGATAATTACTGTATTTATGGGCGGTGGTATAACATCCCCTTTCCGCCTTTCCTGTTACTGCCTTGCCCTCAAGAATATCCAAAATACCTTTTTTTCTGTAATGCATTGTCTCTGTCTCATTCTCTCTCTCTCTCTCTCTCTCTCTCTCTCTCTCTCTCTCTCTCTCTCTCTCTCTTCTCTCTCTCTCTCTCTCTCTCTCTCTCTCTCTCTCTCTCTCCGTCTCTCTCTCTACTCAAACTAAAGGTATTCTTCAAGCATCTTTTGTAATGTGGGTCTCTTAGTAAAATAATGTCACGTACATAAATAAAATTAGTGACAAGTAAAAACTGTTAATGAAAGGGACAGGACTGGAGTCAGACATTGGGACTTGGGGTACTCTAGGGTCGGGTTCCCTCGCCATAAAAATCGTATTAGATGGAAAATAAGTAAATGAATTCAAGTGAATGAATGGGGGCACCTCGCCTTTCTATTTCCATCATATTTCATTCTTTTGAGTAAAACCAACATTGTAATCATTATATTATTTAGAGAGGAATAAGTAAATGAATTCGAGTGAATGAATAGGGGCACCTCGCCTTTCTATCTCCATCATATTCAATTCTTTTGAGTAAAACTAACATTGTAATCATTATATTATTTAGAGAGGAAGTCCCTAGATTGGTGGCCCCTCAGGCTGG